GAGGGGTGGAGTTGGGGGTGGGGGAGGGGGGCGGTGGTGGCCGCGCGGGAGAGAACGAAAGGACGAGGGGTGAGGGCGCGCGAGTGAGGCGCCTACGGGGAGACAAGGGGGGTTTCGGTGAAGGCAGGACGGGGGCCTGGGGGTGCCGGCGTCCTGTTCATTATGCAACGACGCGACTGCACGTCCCCCCGCGCGCCACTCTCTTCCACTCCACTTCATCCCCCCGGCGACGCCACCCCCTCCGTCTCCTCTCTCGCGCCCGTTCCCACCCTCCGGAACAACGAGCCACGGTTCTCCGGTGCAGCGGAGAACGGGCGCAAAGTACAATCGGGAGGCCCCGCGGTTAATGAGTCGGCCGAACAAAGCGAAAAACCGTCCATTAAATAATGCGCGATGCAATGTCGGCGCAGCCGCGGAAACGCTCCGCGCGCGGAATGCACGGAAAAGGCAGACTCTTTTTTCGAAATTTCGAGAGAGAGCTACGTGTCGTCGTGCCTCCCTCGATTCACGTTCCTCCCCCGCCGCGTCTTCTTTGTTCTTGCGGCTGCCGTAGATTTTTGCCGAGTAGTAGACTGTCGCGAGGCGACGATACGACGCGGCAATGAGGACGCGGAATCTCGAGGGAGAAAAAGGAAATATAGAGAAGGAAGAGAGAGAGAGAGAGAGAGAGAGGGAGGGAGACTGTTGTCGTGGACGACCGCGATTTAGCGCGTCGTCCGACGTGTCGATATCGGCGATCGGTACGTCGTTATCGTTATGACGTCTTCAATATCCCTTTTAATCTTCGGCATTTTTAATTGTCTATCGCGGCCCATTTATCCCGACGAACGGTGCAATCGCAATCGCAAGAGACAGGGCATATAATTAAATGCGAAAGTTTGTTAGAACTACGCGGCAGCGTTGTTACTCACTTGTCCCGTTCCCTGATAATTACTGCGATGCATTTATTCGCGTTCTCTCTGCAGCCCGCTCGCTGGCTGGTTATGCTTTTGTAAACCCTTTGAGTGGTTTCTCCGAGGAACAGTCGCTCTGTATGTTCCGTCGCATTGTTGTCCTTTTAAGCTATAAGGATTTCTAATGCGTCGCGCGCGGCAGCGCTCCGCTGGTGCACCGAAACGCATATATCCAAGTAATTGCTCGTGAATAGCATTATTAGGATAATTGATGGCGTTGTCGCGTAGAAAACTACGACGTTTGCTCTTCATAATGACGGCAACGACGGCTCGCGGTGAAGTTTCTTTTTCTTTCCTTTTTCACCGCGCAAAAGTTGTTGTAAGCAACAACTTTTGTTGTTGCGCGCTTCTTAATCGTTCCCTTGAAAAAATCCGACGCTCAGCGTTTCCACAGACCGATCGAGATCTATCGAACGATGTGTGCGAAATATTTTCTCGTCGAGCACTACGATACTCATTTCTTTCTTGCCACGGTAAAAATTTGCGTTAATATCAGATGTTGTAAAATAGACCGTACGAATGCAGCCGTCTCTACACTTCACGAAGAGAAAAAGATACGAAATCATACTCGGAAAGGGCAAGGAAGGTTTAAAAACTTGTACATTTCGCGGACTTCGTAATTTATCTGCAAAAACATACATCGTGAAAACCAGTTAAATACAGAGAGCATCCGTTGCACACAGCTGGAAAATGAAAGAGTATCGTTCGGTCTGAGTTACGACACGACGCCTTGACATGGACGAAGCCATACGTAGCGCCACAGGCGATGACGCACCCTGCAGACGCGGACGTGATCTAAACTTTCATCTAAACTTTCATCTAACCTCCCCTATGTATCTAATCGCATCCCACCACTATATCCCGCGAAAGGACTAGGAAAGGAGTTGGAGTGGGGCTCGCCGAAGTATGGTGGGGATCTCACACACTGACGCATTTGCTAACGTATAAGTGTGCGTACACGGACATGGTGGGGGGTAACGACCCTTAATAAACGTGAATCTCGAAGGAGATGCCACGGTCTGGAAAAGAATATCACGAAAGATAGTCATGGAGAAACGTCTCATGGCGAAATCGCTTCTTAATTCCCCGATCGATGACAAGACCATCTTTAACTTTATTGCTGCGAGCATACGTGTATCTCACGGCTGTTTCCGAAAAGATGCCTGATTCGCGCGATTAAAAATGATCGAGTCTGTAATTGTCTTACGCAGATAGGAAACCGGAGTGTTTGTTCGGAACCCAAGAGAGACGAATAGAGAGAGAGAGAGAGAGAGATAAAAGGTAATCCTTTTATTACTCCTGACATGACGGAAAACCGGTCGAGCCGAGATCTCACCGGTCATCGGAGAGGGATCGCGTCTCTGCTTTCGAGAGGAAGAAAAAGACGCGGAGCGCTATCCGATGACACGAGGAATAAAAATTCATCGGCCTCTCTCTCTCTCTCTCTTCCCCTCTCATTTTCTCAATGAGGGTTCGATCCGGGAGGGTGGGCCGACAACGACGTCACCGACGTCGTCGTGCGACATCCCTCGGAAGCGAGGAAGGATTTTTTTCTCTGCCACACGGTTAAAATGCAAATTAAGTCGACGTGCTTAAGAATGTGAGATTATTAAGGGAGACCGCCGACTTGCCGACCCCGCGGGTACTACACACGAGTCGCGAAAACATTCCCTCGCACTCCCGCGCTACCTTCCTTTTTTCCCACCACCACCCCCGCGCCGCGCATTATAAAGCACATATTACTCCCGCGGCTTGCTGCCGCGTCACACATTCTTCCGTTTGCCCCTACGGAGGAGCGACGGGACGTCGGGCGGCTACTTGAGACTGCAGGCAATAAACGACTTTGGACGCGCTCGCTCTGAAAAACAAGACGGGGAAAGAAAGAGGACGGTGGGAATTGAGTTTCTAGTAATTTTCCTCCGACTTCTCGCGAAAATTAATACCGCACTGTGTCCCAGATGTGCGGATGTTTGATGCTTAGTTATCTCTCGCGCGCAATTCCGGAGATCCGTTTGTATTTTTATAATTAAGAATTAGACATAATCAGTAATTACACGTAATTGATGCGTACTTCACGTGCAAACGTCATTAGAGTAATCCCATTGTTTCTCGTGCACTTGAGAACCGAGAGATATTTAGTCATCGCGTGCTTTTTTTTGTCATGTACCGTAGTTTGAAATAGTAGGATTTAAAAAAAAAAAAGGATATTTTTTGCTGAGCGGTATCAAAAATGCGATACCGACCTGCGAAAATGAATTTTAAGAGTCTGCTACCGGAATAAAAATATAAATCTGGACGTATATCCTATATGATATCGAGGGTCCAAATATATCCAAATATATATCGAGAGTCGCAAATATCTCCATTATTTTGTCGCTCCACACGTGTACACACACAAGCTCTGTCAAATACATGTACCATTGCCCGTAAATCTAGCTAATTAAGGAGCGTTAATACGAGTGATATCTACTTTTGTACAGCGCACGGAAATCATTACACACAAAACGTACTTCCGCATTACTTCCCGCACGGCCAGCGTGACGGAATAAAAGCGTATAAATCTGCCGG